TCTTTGTCCTCCTTTCTCTGCCCAGAGGACATACCTAGCACTTTCCTACCTGTCTCCCTAATCACTGCAGCTGTAGTCTCCCAATCATCTGGGAATCAACACAGCCCAGAACTGCCCTTACTTCCTTCCTGAAGTCTTCACAACATGTCTCTTTCCTTAGTTTCCACCACTTGATCTTCTGCTCTTTTCACTCTTTTCCTTTTGTCACCTTCATGCACACTACCATCTGATGTTGTTTGGCTACACTCTCACCTGCCCTGCCTTACAGTCATTAATCTCCCTCAGATTACCTCTTCTACATAGAATATAATCTATCTGTGTGGACCTGCCTCCACTCTTGTACGTCACCCTGTGTTCCTCTTTCTTTTGGAAATAGGTGTTTACCACAGCCATTTCCATTCTCTTCGCGAAATCTACCACTGCCTGTTCTTCCAAGTTTCTCTCCCTAACACCAAACCTACCTATCACTTCCTCATCTCCTCTGTTTCCTTCCCCTACATGACCATTTAGGTCTGCTCCAATCACCACTATCTCTCCCCTGGGGATACTCTCTACCATCCAATCTAGCTCCTTCCAGAACTTCTCCTTTTCTTCCAATTCACAGCCCACCTATGGGGCATAACCGGTAACAACATTTATCATCACTCCTTCTATTTTTAACTTCACACACATCAACCTGTCTGACTCTCGTTTCACCTCTACCACATTTCTTACATATTCTTCCTTTAGGATCACCCCTACTCCATTTCTCTTCCCATCTGAACCATGATAAAACAGCTTGTAGCCTCCTCCAATGTTTCTAGCCTTGCTGCTCTGCCACCTGGTCTCCTGCACACACAAAATGTCTACTCATCTTCTCTCTATCATATCAGCCAGGTCTGTACTTTTCCCTGTAATTGTACCTACATTCAGAGTTCCAAACTTCAGACCAACACTTCTATTCTTCATCTTTTCTCTTTTTCTCCTAACCAAACACCCTCCTCTTCTTCTCTGTCTTTGCCCAACAGTAGCCCAATTTCCATCAGTGCCCTGTAGGTCAACGGCACTGTTGGTGGTCATTGTTAACCCGGGCCTCAACCGATCCCGTATGGAAATCGTTGAAGTGATTCGCATATTTGATTTGGCTAAAAGTTTTACGCCGGATGCCCTTCCTGACGCAACCCTCGCAATTTATCCGGGCATCGGACCGGCACTATAAAACACTGATTCATGTACCCTATTGGCTGGTTTACAGAAATCCTGAATATACAGTATAAAGAAAAATATGAAGCGTATTGGACCACACTGTCTGTACCGGTGCGCAGCTACGCCTGCTACCACCGACCAGGCGGCACAGGAGATCCCCATAAAACAGCCCCTGCATATGTCATGATTATATTTGTAACCCAAGTATTACAAAAGAAAAC